GCCCGCTCCTCCTCCGCGGCCAGGGCTGCTGAGCTCCTCTTCCGAGCAGCTGTTGGTCTCCAGGCTCTCGGCCTCCGACTCCAAGCCCTCCAGGACCAGCAGCGCGTCGCTCGTTTCCGTGGGGTCCTCCCCGGCCTGCGGGGCGGCAGCAGGGGGCTGGGGCTGCGAAGGGGGCGCCTGCGGGGGGCACGGGCACGGGCAGCAACCCCCACTGACCGTCTTGACTCCCGGTCCCGCCGGCTGCCCGAGCCCCAGAGCCGCCAACTGCGCCTCTAGTCCAGCCGCCGGGCCCCAGGTCCGCTCGAGCGCCAACCCCGGCGGCAGGGCCTTGGGGTCCAGGGCACAGCGGTGCCGGGGACACAGCAGTTCCGAGGGTCCCGGCTCCGGGGCCGCCTCCGCGTCCTCCTCCTCCGGCGGCCGACCCACGTTGCGGAACACCATCAGCTGCGGCGGCCGGGAGCCCCGCGGGCCGGGCCGCGCGAGGAAGGGTGGCGGCGGGGGACCATGGCCCGGGGGCGGCGGCGGCGGGCCTGGCTCGGGGGCCGCCTCTCCATAGCCGAGCAGGCGGCTCAGGACGCGGTACGAAGCGGCCGCCGCCGCCGCCTCGCCATCCCGGAGCTCGGCCCCCTGCATCGGGGAGAGGGAGGGAGGGCGGGCGGCTGGGAGCCGGGCTGGGGTGGGGACTAGGCCGGGCTCCGCCGGAGCCCCGCCCGCCGCGGCCCCCGGAGCGACAGCGCTAACGGCCGCCGCGGCCTCTGCCTCATAGAGGAGGGCGGGGGGGGGGGGGGGGGGGGGGGCGGTCGGCGAGCCCAGCGCTAGCGCAGGCCTCGCGCCGCCGCCGCCGCCGCCGAGGACCGCCCCGCGGATGGCGTCACTTCCGGGAGGCTGTGACCACGCCCCTCTCCCCAGGGCGTGCTCGCGCCGGCCTCCACGGAGCGTGACGTTGCACGCGGCCTGGGCCGCTATTGGCGGAGGACTGCTTCACGCCTGGTTCTTCGTTCCTACGCCGGCTCTTGGTTTTCACTTCCCGGGCGCTCAGGCCGAAGCCACCCCTCTCGGTCAGGTGGAGCGGCTGCGGAAAGCCCGGTCTGGTCCTGGGAGAGCCGCTGGCCTAGAGGGGACCTCTGGTTCTGGTCCCGCCTATGCCGCTATGCGATGTGTAACCGTGGCCGAGTCATTTCTTCATTGACTAACTGTATCCTCCTGGCATCAGTGAATATGGAATGACACATGAATAATGTGTTCTACACCCAGTGTGCTGCTAAATGTTGAACAGCCGACTCTCTGGGAGGAAAAGGAGAATGTATGCACATATGTATCAGTACATAAGTTTATAAATTATAATGATGTAAAGGATGTGTAGTACACAATTTACAAATAATAACATACAATTGCTGATTTCATGTAACCAATTGATTCTCACATAGTTCTCACCAATTGATTTCACATAATAGAACCTATTGATTCTCCCTTGCACACTGATTTTTGCCAAATTCTTGTGTGGGTAGCCGACCTGTGGTTTCAATTGATGGAGGAGTGTAACTGCGACATGAATGAATGTTGGTTGATATTTTCCTCTATGTCAATGTAAGAGGAAAGAGAAAAACTGTCAGTTATGAGAGCGACTCCTTTGCTGACTCAGAAAACGATTTTCAAATGCTGAAAGTACATTTCCTCAATTTTTGTGCTATGCACAATGTATAAGCTATAGATATAACATATTAAATTTTAAATCTGAATTAACATTTTCTCCATCACTTTCTTAAATGTAGATAATCGACAAAATAAATCAAGGCTTTCATTTGCAGCGTTTGCGGATTTCCATGGTGTAAATACTCCCATCATGGCTGATTTCAATCTATCAACTTGACTTTACTGAACACAGAGTTGGAAAGAGACGAGCAGTAGCATACCATTGTGTAGTAGTTTCATCATGCAAATACAACAACATAAATAACCTTGAGAGCATGGGTAAATAATAGTAGTAAAATTATTAGGAAGTGATGAGTTTTGACATCTTTGATTTTAATATTTGTTTAATTATGATTGTTCAATTTAATTATTAATAGTGACTGTGTCTAACAACGGGCTTGCAAAATTCCTGAAATTTTAACACTTGGCTTTCACAAGCCTGTATGAGCCAGCTCCACAGCACCACTAGTCCTCATTTTTCTTATCTGCAAAAGGATAAGGATTGCTGCTCTGCTTACTTGCAGGCAGGTTGTGAAGATCAAGTAAGATCAAGCTTGTTGTGTAGAGGCAATGGGACTGGAGGCAGAGAGGCCAGTTAGGAAATAAATGCACTTGTTCCATGAGAGATGTTGAGGGATGCAAGGGATGAGGAGGATCAGCCAGCAGAATTTAGCAACTTTAGTACCTGAGGGTGCATCGAGGGGAAGAGGGTTAAGGGTCTGCTATGAGTCCTGCAGCCAGAGAGCCCTTTTTAAGATGGAAATTTGTCCATAGCCTGTGATTCTAACCCTTCATGGTTTCCCATTGTTCTTAGGCTAAAGACACAACTCCTTAAGGAGGCCTGTGGGGGTCTGACCCCTGTCTCTCTCTGGCCTCACTTCCCACCAGGCTCCACCTTGCTCTCTCCCCTGTGCTAGCCTGTGTCTGGCTCGCACACATATGGCCATCGCATAAGCTATTCCTTTTTCTCTAAAGGCTTTTTCCTTCTCTTTTTGCTTAGTAAACTCCTACTCATCCTTTAGATTGGGCTCACTCCTCACTACCTCAGGGAAATCTCCCTGCCCAGGCACTTCCTCCTCACTGAGCTCCAAGACCACTCCTTTGTTGCACGTATTGCACAGGTGTCATTTGTCATCTCTCTGTGGGGTTATTTGATTAAAGTCTAGCTTCCCTACTAAGCTGTAAGCTCCAGGAGGGCAGGGCTATGTTTGCTTTTTCCCCATCATGGACTCTCCAGTGCCAAGGACTGTGTCTGGCCCTTGATACCTAAGCATGGAATGGTGGTTCAACCTCACACCTTGTAGGAGGCTCCTGATACAAATCTATCTCTAATTGTGCACAAAAGAAGTAATATCCTTCCTTGCTCATGAAGAAACTGAAGCTCAGAGAGTTATTCACCTAGGGTCAGAGTTCAAAAAGGTGAGTGGAATTCAAGACCAGCTCTGTCTGACTCCAAAGATTTTATTCTCTACCCTCTCTCTCTCAGGTGTCACTCAGGTTCCTGGAGAAAAGAAATGAAATTGCTATAGGATCACAGAACACCCCACCCAACATCCCTGGCTGTCTCTGGAAAAGTCTCTGGCCCTGGAACAAATTACCCCATGAATGCAAGGCGTGTAGCTCGGCAGCGCCCTCTGCTGTCCAGCTGCTTCTTGGCCCCGGAGGGAGGCTGACCATGTCCACCACCTGGGGTATCGCCACCTGCCCAGAGCACAGAGGCTCAGGGGGACACACACAGGCTCTTTGTAAGGCAGGGCAAGGAATGCTGCCTTTTTCCACTTTCTTAAATGTCCAGGCCTGTAGCCCAGGTCCTGGAAAAGACATTGAAAATTAAGCTCCAAGCAAAGGGAGTGTATCTTTGTATGAGTTGTATTTGTGTTTGTTGAGTGGGTTTTGTGTCCACACATACCTCTTTCACTGAGGGCTATGTCAGTGGTTCCTGCAGTGGCAGGACCCTCAGTTCAACAGGTATGTGGAGAACAACTCAGAGACCTAAGCCAGTCCTGAGGTTCCCCCAGTCATCCAGCAGTGGGCTATGCTTCAGGGCTGCGGGATGAGCGGGACAGGCACAGTCCCTGCTGCTCTGGAACTTGCCATCTTGTTTGAGTCCCAATCGTGCCATTTCCTGGATGTACGACCAAGAGCAAATAATTAAGCATCTTTGAACCTGTTTCATTTGTAAGAATAAGTCAATAATAATCCCCCTTAGATGGGGCTGTTGTGGGGATTAAGTGAAAACTTACATCTAAATGCTAAAACACTATAAAGACATTAGTTGTTATTATTATTAAAAGCTTCTTGGAGGAAAAAACAGATTACTGTTTTGTCTTCACCTAATGTGTTTTGTTGGCCCTCAGCTAATGGCAACCAGTCATACCGAGAATGTGGAATGGGTCACTTGCTCCCCTCCATCCTCTCTCTGTTAACACACACATTATCAGAGAGGCCAAGGAGAGAGCCAGGGATGTGTGATACAGGTCTGACCCCACTGACCACTCAATGGCTTTACGGCCTGGAGAAGGTCACTCTGCTGACATTCACTTTTAGTTTTAGTTTCCTTCTGTATTAGAGAAAGGTCTGGGCTGGAGGCACTCCTAGTTCTGCCATCATAAGGATTCTGCTTGGGGGTGTCCTCTAGCCCCCTTCCCCTCCTCCCACTCCTTACATTCCCATTTAGGGTTCTAAAGCAGAATTGTTGTTTGCAGAGGCCACCTGTAAAGCAAGGGAAGTTTTTAGCAACCACCACCCATCCCTTCCTACATACACTCAGTGATCAGAGACATTAAAGGTTTAAGATTGTAGGGGACAGAGAGAGAAGGGAAGAAGCCAAGAGACAGCATGCACAGGTGGGGCCAGATCGCAGGGTGAGTGGGAGCACATTGGCAGTGGAAAGGTGATGGAAGTGGCGGGGGGGGGGGGGGGGGGGGCAGGGGCTTCATTCTGCGGCTACCCGCAAGAATCCACACCCTTCCGGATCCAAGGAGGCTTCCTCAGACAGTGCTAACTCTGGGCCCCCCGGTTATGATGTTCAACAGAGGGAAGGATGTGAGGAGTAAGAAAACGAGGAAGAGCAGAATAGGTTAGGCACAGTTTTCATGAAGAAAGGAATAAGGCAGAGTCTAGGATGACAAAATGAAGATGGAAGAAGTGGAGGCGAAACTTTGCTCACTCTCTTCTCCCTGCCCCCATGATGTCTCCCCTCCCCGCCACCGGCTGGGTTGTTGACTCTGCGGTGCAGGAGAAGGAAGGTACCCCTGGGTTGGGAGGTGGAGACCTCGTGGAGGCTCCTGCTCTGTCCTGAACAAGAATGTGGTCCTAGGGAAGTCCCTTCCCCTCTCTGGGCCTTGATTTACTCCTCTGTAATGAGGCTTTATTAAGATCTCCAAGGTTGAATAACATAACAAGATGACGGTGGTGATTTGATGGGACAGTATAGGGGAGTCAGAGCTCTGGGTTTGAGTCTCAACTCAAAGTAGGCAGTTACGTGGTCTTGGGTGAGTCTGTGAGCCTCAGTGTCTGCATCTGTAAAATGGGGTTAAGCATATTTACCATCCATGGTTGTGGGGAAGATTCATTGAGATGACGCACGTGAAAAACACTTTATAAACTGCCACAGTCTGTACAAAGATTAATTGTGGTGATATTAGGCTCTCTTTCCCACCCTCACCATCCCCAATCTCCAATTCCAGTCAGCAGCACAGTGTCAGGGGGTACAGGCAGCCAGAGCAGATTGCCAGGAGATGCAGCTTGGCCCTTTATCATGCCCATCGCAATTGCTGCCAGGAGGCTGAGTGGAGCAGAGGGGCGGAGAGAGGGGCATAGGCTCATCTGTGGTTGCTATGGCACCCCATCCCGGATTTGCCCATCTCTCCTAATGGAGCAAAGGGCAGAGGGAGGGGGAGAGGTAGAGAGAACAACTGTTCCCTTCCTCTATCCTCCCATCTCTCTCTCTCTGGAGCAGATGTGAGGTGGGGAGTCAGGGGAGGGGGCCTAGATACTGGATAAGAGGGGGAGGGAAGAGTGGTGTGCCAGGATTTAGAGGGTTTGTGATAGGGGGCCACACTGAGAGAGAAGGGGGAAGAGCCCTCATGCCTACGTCCAGAAGCCAGCTGATGACGTTATAGAGAAGAAAAAACAAGCAAGACAGCGCCAGCGTGAGGGAGAGAGGAAGAGAGAAAGCGAGGATAGGAGGCGTGGAGGCAGGCAGCCCCAGATTGCAGCCAGCCTCTGCCTGGGCTCTCCTGCCGCCAGATCCCCCAGGCAGCCTGGACCCCAGGGTCCCTGACAGCTGCCCCGAGGATGGGCACCAGGACAGTGGTCGTGCTGCCTCCTCTGTGGGGACTGCTGGGCTGCTGTTTCCTCTGCGGCTGGGCTCTAGGGGGTCCACGGCCCCTCCGCTCTCTGCCCCCGCTGTCCTCCCACATCAAGCCAGGATCTGTACCCATGTGGGTCCCCCCGGAGGGGCCTGAGGCAGCCCTGGCTTTTCTCTACTCTGGAGATGCCCAACAGCTGTCAGGGGCTAATTGCAGTGAGCGCTATGAAGCCCATGGGGCAGAAGCCAGACCAGGGCTCCCCCCAATCCTGTGGAGGGCAGCAGGCACCCTTGCCCAGGCCGCCAATTTCCTCAACATGCTGCTACAAGCCAACGACATCCGTGAGTCCAGTGTGGAGGAGGATGTGGAGTGGTACCAGGCACTGGTCCGCAGCGTGGCTGAGGGGGACCCAAGGGCGTACCGGGCTTTGCTGACCTTTAACCCTCCACCAGAGGCCAGCCACCTGCAGCTGGCCTTGCAGGCAACCCGGATGGGGGAGGAGACCATCCTTCAGGACTTGTCTGGGAACAGGGTGCAGGAGGAGAGCCCAACTGGGGCCCTGGACACCCCTGCCCTGCAGAAGCGGGTGCTGACCAACGACCTACAGAGCCTCGGCAGCCCCAAGTGGCCACGGGGAGATGGATATGTGGGGGACATACAGCACGTGAGGCTGTCTCCTCCCTTCCTGGAATGCCAGGAGGGCCGGCTCCGTCCCGGCTGGCTTATCACACTTTCGGCCACCTTCTACGGACTCAAGCCAGACCTCAGCCCCGAGGTCAGGTAAGTGGGTTTGTGCAGGATTCGATGCATTTGTGGGTACATAGGGGTGGGGGCGGTTCAAGTCCAGCCAGCTGTGCATGAGCAATTTGGCATGCACATGTGTGTCTGGGGGGCACAGATGTGTGTATTTGCAGTTGACTCTGGGAATCTGTAACTATGTTAACATAAACAGGTGTGAATGTACATTCTGTGTATGAATCAATCCACTTACATGTAGGTATACACGTGTGTGTATACAGATGTGTGGGTATAGCCAAGCATATATCTTGGCCCCCAGGTCTGAGTAGTGGGTGTAAGAGGCAGGAGAGGGCCTGATGTGGAAGACAGTGACAATCTATGAACAAGGCATCTCAGAGGAGCCAGATGGGCACTCTAGGAGTTAAACCCACTCGCTGCTCTCCAGCAATCTAGAGCTGTAAAAGGAGGCTTCTCCATGGAAAGGAAAATTCTTGGGGGGGCTTTGAACATTGCCCTTTCTGTCCAGGAGTTGGCAGGGTCCCCAGGGTCACTTCCAATGGCTATATTCTTACATCAAGTAGGTTCCACTGTTCTGCCTGTTCTGACCCAGGAGCCTGTGATACTCCTCAAATAAGTGACCCCCCTCAACCAGAGTAAAGAGATGATTAACAGCCCCGGTGGGAAGTAGGCAGCAAATGGGCATACTGCAAGGCATTCAACAATCAACATTGCTTTCCAGCTATGTGTCCCCGTTCATTGTCCCCAACGGGGTTCCCCTCCCACCGGCAGGAAGCCTGGCTCCTTGCCAGCTCTCTCCCCACTCAGCCCAGAGCAGAGGTTGAAAGCCCTTGGGCCAGGCAGCTCTTGCTTTGGGCTCCTCCATTCCCCATCTCCTTTGCTGTGATCAATTCAGACCTGGTTTAGGCAGAGTGAAGGGGTGGTTAATAGCTGAGCTCTGTGTGTGTGTGTATGTGCGTAGTGGGGAAGTGTGAAAATCTCCTTCAGACACATGATCAGAGCCCCAGCTGCCACATGTCTTGACATGCCCCCTCCCTCTACCCATTGATAGAAACCAGGAAATGATAGGATGTTGAAAAGCTCAAGGACGGGGGGATAACCTAGGGAGAGGGAGACTGTTGCCCACAGAGACAGTGAGAGTTAATAGCACCAGAGAAACGAATGCATGTGTGCCCTCTCTCCCGACACATTGCAGCCACTGTGCTAAAGTTTGCAAAGCTTGCATTGCCCCATAGTCTGCAGCCCAAGGACACGTGTCCACCTTGGCATCCTTTGCTGTGCCCCTAAGTGCCCATTCACTGTCCTAGGGGGCAGGTGCAGATGGATGTAGATCTTCAGAGCGTGGACATCAATCAGTGTGCCGGCGGCCCAGGCTGGTACGGTAACACGCACCTATGTGATCTCAACAGCACCCAGGTAAGGATAAGGAGGATGGGGGGGCGGCACTAGGGTCCTGCCTCCTACCCCCTTTCCCATCACTGCCACCACCCAGCTCCAAGGAGCAGCTGACAAAGGCATATCAGCTTCTCAAGGCATCAGTGGAGTCCCTGGTGATGAGATAGATAAAGATGAGATATCAGGCTTTTTATACGCAGCCTACCCTCTACCCTCCACCTGAGAAAGCCACCCTCTTCTTTTGAAATCTCAGTGTGTCTGTCTTCTCTCCCTTCTGGTGCTGCATGCTCCAGGATCCCTCCCCAGGACCACCTCCTGAGCTCTATTAATCATCCCCTTTCCTTCTCTTGGACCACGTTCTCCTTGTCAACAGAGCTGCAGGCTCCTTCTGTCCCACAAAGGATGCTCTGTCGGTGTTTGTTTGTTGAAATAAGTGGAATTGCTGGTTGGGGCCCGGGAGGAATCTAACCAAAGACGGAGCTTGAAAGGCTCTGGGACTCAGGTAAAGGTGATGGAACCCAGGCCAGATGCTGGCAGAATCAAAGTCACGGATGCGGGAGAATTTGGATAATGGAAAGCAATGGCTGGTAATCCTGAAAGCCCAGTACTGGGAAACTGGGAGGCCAATGAACTAATCTTCTCCACGGTTACATTGACTGCATGCTTGTTCCTGAGCTGGACTGAAGCCAAGGCGAGCCCTGCAGCGTGCTGGGAGGTGGGGCAGGTTTGGGGACCTGCTGCTCTTCAGGACACATGTGTTTGAGCTATAAGTCCAGGGAGAGAGAAGGGCTCCCATTGTTCAGTGTGCTTTTAAACCCAGCCACATCCACATCTCTGGGTACACATTTGTCTGACTGTGCAGACTGTGGCAGGAAGAGTGTGTTCATGGTCCAGGCAAGAGGGGAAGCTGGGTCACAATTTCAGAAGCACTACCCTCTGGCTATGCAGTCTCCCTGGGTTAACCCCTTCCTTTGCCCCACTGCTGTCTGTTCCTGACCACTCCCTCCAGCATATCTGGCTTCATCCATGTGCTCATCTTCCCTGTCTGGCTCTGAGGTCTGCTCTGGCCCCTGCTGGGCAAACATCAATGGGCAGAAGTGGAATAAAGAACTGGCCTTGGCATCCCACCAGCCTGGCATTAGGCTGGCATTAGGGCTAGGGGAAGCAGTCCTGTGTCAAAGCCAGATGGCCCCTGGCAGAGGAAGCTGCTCCCCTGTGGGGGCCTTTTCAACCCACCTGTGTGCCAGTGAGGGAGGCTGATGGGCAACCTTTGAAGCAGGATGTAGGCACACAGATGTGGCTGTGCTTGGAGTCCTCCCTACTTCCATCTCCCCCCAGCACCTCACTCTAGAGATAGCTGGGCACTGGTGAATGAGACCTATAAGGCTCCCATCACTCTGCTGGTCTGAATAAAAGGGTGATCCATCCCTGTACTCTTTGCTTGGGGGTCTCTTTGAGGAGAGGCAGTAGTGGGCGGTAGAGTAGGGTTTCCATAGAGGGGGGAGGCTTCCCTAGACTAGGGAGAGCTTCTGGTGAAGTTCCCTAGTGTGGACCCAGGCACCATGGATAGAAAGGCAGATGGACCCTCCATCTCTTCCCAGGAGGGAAAGCCCCATGTAAATACCCGTTGTGTTTGTCATTCCCACAGTGTGTCCCCCTAGAGAGACAGGGCTTTGTCCTTGGCCGCTACCTCTGCCGCTGCCGACCTGGCTTCTACGGGGAGAGCCGCCCCAGAGGTATGTAACTGTGGTGAGGGCCAGGCAGGTGTTTTACACATTAGGCTGGTTGCAGGGGGCCATCTGGGGAAGAAAGGCAGGCTGGGGTAAGACACTGGGAGGAAATTTGTGGGGCAAGGGCAGAGAGAGAGGTGGAGAGATGGAGAGGCAAGCAGGATCCAGTTTGGGGTTGTCTGTGCCTTCTGAGAATGAGCCCATAACACACCGATCTGATGCAAGTTGACCTCATAATGAGCCCTAGCATGGCATCACCTCTTCCTGTTATCCTGCCTTCCCTGGGGAGTACCCACTTCCTCATTCCTTCCCTTCCCGACCCCAGGGGCTAGGGACCATAGGAGGGCAGGGAGAGGGCTGTGGTGACCATCGGGAGAGAAGGCTGGGATCTTAGGATGCCCCAGCTGGGCCTCTCTCCCTGCACCCATCTTGTTCTTTATAGGGTTAGAGGAGAGTGCCGCCCAGCCTTCCGGGCAGTTTGGGTCCCCACAAGGCAGCTCCAGGAGGCTGCTGCGGTGCCAGCCATGTGCTGAGGGCTGCACTAGCTGCATCGATGCCACACCGTGCCTGGTGGATGAGGCCCTGGCGCTGCGGGCAGCAGTGCTGGCCTGCCAGGCCTGCTGCATGCTGGCCATCTTCCTGAGCATGCTGGTTTCCTACCGCTGCCGCCGGAGCAAGGCAAGGAAGGCCCCACATCTCTCTCCTGCACACATGTCCTACCCATCTTGGGTCCCTAGCATCAACTGAAAACTAGAGACTACCTAAGACTAGAACTTTCCATGGGAGAAACAGGTTCTGGCCTTGATTCTTAATCTAACTCACTATGGGACATTAGGCAAGTGACCTCACCGGTGGCCTTAGATCTGTTTCCTCACCTGTAAAATGAAGGCATTGGACTCGACTCGAAACACTGTGTAGGCACTAGGGGAAGGGATCCAGATCCTCGTGGAGCTCCCAGTTGAATGGAGGAAGCAGACATGTAAATAAAATGACAGCACAGCAAGACAGGGGCAAGGATGGAGGTGAACCAGGCTTGAAAGTCAACCAGATGGTCAGCAGGCAGAGAAGGGGCTATCTGGACAAGGGAGCAGTCTGACCCAAAGCTTGGAAAAACACGTGAGATCTCTTCTAGCTCCAGCAACCTCTGATTTGAGCCCATTTCTGCAGCAAGGCCCAGGCTGGGATTGGGATGGGCAGGTGGCTGGGGTGGCAGGGGCTACGTGAAACCTTGGCCTTAGCCAGGCTCAGTGCCAGTGGAGCTGAGCCTTTGGTGGGAGTGGGGGCATGGGTGTGGATGGAGAGGATGGAGCTAATGTTACAGGGGGAAACCTTAGCCCAGGGCCACAGCGTGACTCCTAAAACAGGGCTGAGACCCTCCTGGACCATCGTCCAGGGTCTGTCCTTCCACTGCCCTGCTTACATGCCTCTCTCTGGGTTCACAGAGGATCCGGGCATCTGGAGTTGTCCTGCTGGAAACCATCCTTTTTGGATCCCTGCTGCTGTACTTCCCTGTGAGTTTGTGGCCAGAAGCTAACCCTACCTCCCAAGTCTCAACCTGGCACCCTCCAAACCCCAGAATCCTTCTTCCTCTCTGCCCTCTTGGGGGGATTCAGAGACCTCAAAATCCCCTACTTATATCCACAAATGCCAGGCTGGCCTAGTGAGCTCTGGAGCCAAACAGTCCAGGCTTAACAGGGCTCTATGATCTGCTGTGAGACTTACAAGTCACCTAACCTTTCTAGGACTTAAGCTGCTCCTTTACAGAATGGAGTGACGATGCCTCTATTGCAAGGCTGTTAGGAGGATCATCAGTGTGTTTGGCAGAGGCCTGGCACGTAATGGAAGTGCAGGGGAGAGCAACCCTTTTTGTCCCTCCCCACCAGGTCTTCATCCTGTACTTCAAGCCCAGTATATTCCGCTGCATCGCTCTCCGCTGGGTCCGGCTGCTGGGTTTTGCCATTGTCTACGGCACCGTTATACTCAAGCTTTATAGGTAGGGTCTGGGCAGACCTTGCTCTCACGCTGCTCACTCCAGGCCACCCCAGCTCATTTTTGGAATGGAGTTCTTCACAGCCAGACCCTTACCAGCTCCACTCCCCTGTGCCCCCAAGGCCTTCTCCCATCACTGTAGCCCTCTCCCCCATGTAACTTTCTGGAGGGTGAGGAGGCAGTGAACCACAGAAGGGATGGGAGGACAGGTATGTGTGGAGGGGAGGGAAGCAATGGACAGAGGCCAGAGCCCTGGCCCCTCTCCTTGGTCCTCCTCCATGCCCCCCACCCACCATCCACACCCTTGTAGAGTGCTCCAGCTCTTTCTGTCTCGAACGGCCCAGCGGGGCCCCCATCTGAGCAGCGGGCGGCTGCTGCGGCGTCTGGGGCTGCTCCTGCTGCTAGTGCTGGGCTTCCTGGCTGTGTGGACGGCGGGGGTCCTGGAAAGAGGCATCCAGCATACATCCCTGGTGACCCGAGGCCACACTCCCACAGGCCGCCACTTCTACCTCTGCCACCACGACCGCTGGGACTACATCATGGTTGTGGGTGAGCTGCTTCTGCTGAGCCCAGTCTGGCCCCTGGCTCTACACCTCCAGGGGTCCTCTTGTCCTGTCCTCTGGCTTTGGACCCAGACCCCTGGCCCAGGGTCCCCACAGCAAGCCCTACAGAGAAAGGGGCAGCATGGCTACTAAGGTGGTGCCTGGCTCTGTCCCTCCCTGCTTCCCCACAGCTGAGATGCTGCTCCTGTGCTGGGGCAGCTTCCTCTGCTACGCCACCCGGGCTGTCCCCTCCGCCTTCCACGAGCCACGCTACATGGGCATCGCCCTGCACAACGAGCTGCTGCTCTCCGCTGCCTTCCATGCTGCCAGGTGAGGACAGGAGCTCCTACTTATGACTCCTCCCACCCCAACATCATGCCTCATCTTTCCCAGGTGAGGTCCCTTAATCCCATGGCCGCCCTTGCAACACTACTATGCCTTAGCAATGTGAGGAAGGCCCACCACCTGTAGCTCTCTCCCTACTCCACAGATACCCTTCCTGCACCCCATGTCTCACCCAACACCCAAGAAAAGGAAGCGTGCCCCACTCCTAATTCCTCTCCCATTCCTAAGCCACTTCTCCAGCACCCCCATCATGCTCCTTCCCACACATACTCAATTTTCCCTGCCTTCTTCCCCCTCATACCTCGGTGATCCCAGCAACAGGCCTGCTGAGTGTCTACAAGGACCTGGCCCTGTGGCGGAGGCAGAATCAACCCACAGGGCAGCCCATAACAGAGTTGTGGAGCATGAGTCTGTGCTATAGGCAGGAAGAGAAGGCGAGCTGGAGTAGTCTGGGAGGGCTTCCTGGAGGTGGGGGTTAACATGAGGTAGGACCTACATCCTAGAGAGGGCAGGAAGAAGAAAGAGTATCTTCGTCATTCCACCCAGCCCCTCCATGGAGATCAGGGCTGGGGCTGGGGAGGTAAGCCAGTGGGGGGCAGGGAGGAGGGCCAATCCCACCTGCTGCCAACCATCCCCCTCCTACCCCACCCTCAGGTTTGTGCTGGTTCCCTCCCTGCACCCAGACTGGACCCTCCTCCTCTTCTTCTTCCACACCCACAGCACAGTCACCGCCACACTGGCTCTGATCTTCATCCCTAAGGTGAGGTCTTCCCCCTTCTGGATGTGAGGCAGACCCCCAGCCCTTTGTAAGGGGCACTGTGCGTCTGCTGCCGCAGCAGCGCCCTCTCCAGGTCAGAGTGAGGATGACACCCTGGGGTGAGTGGGTTCTGAGCAACCTGGGCCCTAAGCCAGGAGCCACTTGGGGGAGGAAGCTACCACCTCTCTGCCTCCAATCCCTGAGCAAAGGAATACGAGCTAGGGTTGAAGGAGTTCTTGTAACACAACTGAAAACCAACTCAGGAGCAGCTAAAGAGGGACAGGGCTAGGAATTGTGGGGGCGGGGGTTAGGACCCCCCTGGTCTCTGAGCTAGAGAAAGTCAGGGAGGATAAGGCAGAGCAAAACTCTTCGGACCCCCAGAATTTCAAATCAGAGGTGGGGTGAGGATTCACAAAGTAAAGGCGTGTTCCACAGGGCAGGGGGAGTAGAAGTGAACAGGGAGCCCAGGTGACTCTTTCTCCAATCATGCCCACCCTGGCCAGTTCTGGAAGTCGGGGGCTCCTCCCCGAGAGGAGATCGTGGACGAGGTTTATGAGGATGAGCTGGGCCTGCAGCGCTCGGCCTCCTACCTTGGCAGCAGCATCGCGTCAGCCTGGAGCGATCGCAGCCTGGACCCCGGAGATATTCGGGTATGTGCCACCCTCCCCGCCTCCTTGTGATGCTAGCTTTTAGGGACTGGCACTGCTGCCCTGCCACCTGGGCTGTGTGCCACTGCAGGTCCCCTGCCCTGCCCCTCATTTTCCCTCTCTCCAAGACTTGCCTCCCTCCCTTCTCCATGACTGTATTTGAAGGAGGCCACATACCAGCCTGGTACCTGAGGCCCAGGCCACTTGGCCAGTTAGAGGCAGAGCCATGAGTGGAGCTCCAATCCCGTGTCCTCCACCCCCACTAGTGGGGCATCATGAGTGCAGACTAAGAAGACCCACACCAGGGCAGTGGGTGACCCTAGGGCCAGCCGTGGGGCTGGGTGGTTCAGGCAGTGAGTGGCTACCAGAGACTTCCACACCAGGATCCCCTTTCCCTGGACCTGGCAATCTTAGAGAAAGGAAGATCTTCCTGAGTCCTACAGTAAGAGAGCATCCTTACTCCTATTTTTCTGCTTAGGAGTATCACTATAGTCAGGGGAACCCTAACGAGAGGCTCAGTGGGTGGGAAATAAGGAGACCTGGTGGTCTAAGCCCATTGTTTTATCAAACCTAAGGTGTAGGAACAACCTCAGAACGTCATTTTGTCTACCCCCTCCACCTCCACTGGGGCCCACCTCTAGACTTGACTTGTTTCTATCTCCCAGTTCCCTCGTCCCAACTGCCCCTGCCTCTCCCGCTGTGTCCTCCTCACCCTCTGAGCTCCGCCCCCCTGGGTATAGGCTGAACTGAGACCCCAATTCAGCAGGGAGGCCCACTGCCACAGCAATGCTCGCCTGCACCCCCCTCCACTTTGCAGAGCAACAACCAGTCTACTCTTCCCTATGCTGGCTCTGGGGATAAACCCAAAGTATGACTTTCAAAGCCCCATTCCATCATTTACACCTGCGTATGGCACTTTTCACACCCACAGGGCCTTCAACGTCATACAATCCTCTTAAGGAAGCTACCTAAGCAGGCAGCCAGTTACTGTTACTTTATAGAAGCAGAGGCTCAGAGTTCAAGGAAATAGCCTTGAGGCACATGATGGGTCAGCAGCCTCAAACCCAGGTTTCCCATCCCCAAAGTTGCTGATTTCCCACCAGACCACAGTGCCCAGCACTGAGTGGATCTGGCTTGGAACTAGGTTGGCACTGGTCTTGCAGGAACAGAGAGGTGAATTTCTGAGAATTTTCAAAGCAGGGAAGGGACAGAGCGTGGCGGGAAAGAGATCCCCTAGAGGAAATGGTCTGAATAAGGGCGCAGGGGACAACAGTGCAGCCAGGGGCTGGAGAGAGCTTAGCCCCCCCATCTGAACGTCAGCTCTTCTCCTCACTCCTCCCTCCCCGCAGGACGAGTTGAAGAAGCTCTATGCCCAGCTAGAGGTCCACAAGACCAAGGAAATGGCTGCTAACAACCCCCACCTGCCCAAGAAGCGGAGCAGCTGGCGCCAGGGCCTGGGCCGCTCCTTCATGAGGTGCCTGGCCGAGTTCCCCGAGGCCCTGACCAGGCAGCACTCCCGGGACTCGGGCTCCCCGGGCCACAGCAGCCTGCCCGGCTCTTCCCGCCGCCGGCTTCTCCGCGCCAGCCTCCAGGAACCTGAGGGGCCACCGGCCCTGAGCAAGTCCTGCAGCACCTATGACCACGACCATCGCAGGGAGCAGGACCCGCCTCTCCTCGACTCACTGCTGAGGAGGAAGTTAGCCAAGAAGGCCTCTCAGGCTGAGAGCCCGGAGCCAGAGGAAGGGCCCCCTGCCCTGGGCTTCAGGTCAGCCAGCGCCCACAACCTGACAGTGGGAGAGAAGCTCCCCAGAGCCCGGCCCGCCTCCCTGCAGAAGTCGCTCAGTGTCGTGGCTGGCTCCAGGGAAAAGGCCTTGCTCGTGGCCAGCCAGGCCTACTTGGAGGAGACCTATCGGCAGGCGAAGGAGCGAGAGGAGAGAAAGAAGGCAGAGGCAGCCTTGGTGAGCCCAGGGCGGAGGCCGTCCAGGAGGCTGGAGCGAGCTCGAGGCCCCCTGTCAGCCCCACCTTCCCCTGCCAAGAGCAGCAGCATGGACAGCTCCCACGCCTCTGGGAAGCTTCAGGAGGAGGCTGTGAGAAGACTGCCTCACCCACCTATTCGGCACCAGGTCTCCACACCCGTCATGGCCCTGTCTGGGGCCTGCCTGGGGGAGCCAAGGATGCTGTCTCCCACCTCCACCTTGGTTCCAGCTCTGATGCCTGCTCCAGCCCCAGTTTCGGCCCCTGCCCTGGCACCAGTCCCAGGACCCCCCCAAAGCCCTAACTTACTCACCTTTATCTGTCCCTGGGAGAATGCAGAACTGCCAGTCAAGAAAGAAAATGTGGCTCAAGCAGGCCCCTCAGGGCCAGAGCAAAGCAGCCACTCCCCGGCCCCAGCTCGGGCCAGGCTCTGGCGGGCCCTCTCTGTTGCAGTAGAGAGAAGGGGGTCTGGGGAGAATGGGAAGGACACAGAGGATGGCCATCTCCAGGGGGAAGCTGATGATGGGGATGAGAACAAGCCCAAGATCCTCCCTAAATCCCACAGCCTCAAGACCCCTGTTCAGCAGGGCTCCATGCGCAGCCTGGGACTGGCTATCAAAGCTCTGACCCGTTCTCGGAGTACCTACCGAGAGAAGGAGAGTGGGGCAGGGAGTCCTGAGAAGGAGGAGAAGCGCAGAGCTTCAGGAGAGGGGGTGGGGGCATGCCCCAGATCTCCCAGGTTAGGCCGGCCCAAGGCAGTGAGTAAGCAGGCGGCCCTCACCCCTTGTGACGATGAGGAGTCCCTCCAGAACCAACAGAATGCTCACACCAGCAGAATGCTCCAAGTCTGTCACCAGGAGGGCAGCAGGGAACAAGACAACAGAGGCAGGAGGACATCCCAGAGCCTAGAAGAGGGGAAAGTTGAGAAAGCAGGTTTGACAGGGCCTACCACACTGAGGCCAGTCAGGCAGGGCACAGCTGGGGACAAAAATGCTGAGCGAGCAAAAGGAGCCCCTGTGGGGTGGCAGGAACTGCCTCAAGCTGGCCTTCAGTCCCTGGGCAGTGCTGACTGCAAGGTGGCAGAGGTATGCCCCTGGGAAGTCACCGAGGCAGCAGCATGTCAGCCTGACAGTAGCAGCAAGGCTGAAATCTGCCCCTGGGAGGTGACTGAAGGAGCCCCTGAGAAGGGGGCATTGAGACAAGATCTAGATGATTCTCAAGAGGAGAGGGGAAAAGCCTCAGAAAAGTCAGAGTCCAAAGATGTGGTCGCCATTGCTCGGAAAAAGCCAGAGAGGCTGGTCAGGGGGCAGGAAGCTGTGTGTCCCTGGGAGAGTGCCGATCCTGGGGGTCTGTCCCCTCGGTCAGCACCTCAGGACTCGGACAGAACCAAGGGCAGGTCTGAGACGTCGGGCAGTGCGGAGGCTAGAGAGGTGGAGAAGAGACGGCGGGAAGCCACTGGCCCAGAAGCTTGTATACCCAACAAGGCCAAGGCAGAGCTGTGTCCCTGGGAGGCAAGTGGAGGAGGAGAGAATGGGAAACCGTCCCAGGAGGGAGTGAAGCAGCTCCCCCAGGAAAAGCAGAAATCTCCCAAGAAAGCAACCTTCTGGAAAGAACAGAACCTGGGTGGAGACATGGAGTCTCTTTGTCCATGGGAGAGGACAGATTTCCGAGGTCCCACAGCAGTCTCCACTCAGGCCCCAGGAACCCCCCAGTGCTCAGGGGGTTTGGGCAGCAGCATCGTGGAGGTGTGTCCATGGGAGGCAGGAGACGCTCCTGCTGTCAGGAGAGCGGAGCTGTGTCCCTGGGAGCTGGGTGACGAGGTAACAGAGAAGGAAATGCTGAGTCAGGGGACAGGTAGAGAATCTCTCCAGGAAAAGGGGAAAACCTCCAGAAAAGGGAGCTCTGGAGAGACAGGGGCACAAACTGGGAGAGCAGAGCAGAAGTTTAGTCAACAGGAGGAACTGGTGTGTCCCTGGGAGAGCACGGCCCCTGGGCACTCCAGCCCATGTCTAGACAATTCCTCATCCAGAGCTGGTGGCCAACTCCTCAGCAATGGAGGAAAGAGGCCCATGCAGGACAGTCCACAGGAAGACTATAGGCCAGAAATAAAGGAAGTAACACCTGCCAAGGCAGAAATCTGTCCCTGGGAGGTGAATGAAAGAACAACAGAGGACTGGACATCAGGACAGGCACGAAAAGGAGGAGACTCTCAAAAGGACAAGGAGAAAATGCCTGGAACATCAGGAATCAAAGATGTCACAGCTTGGGAAAAGCCTGAGGGACAGAACAAGAAGCAGGAAGCAGTCTGTCCTTGGGAGAGTGTGGACCCTGGCAGCTCCTCCCCACAACCAGGTCCTCAAGACACATTTAGACCCAAAGCCAGTTTCCAGATGTCAGGTGGTGTGGGAAGCAAGACTGCTGGGATCCGTCCGTGGGACGCAGAGGGAACTCTGCCTGCCGACAGGGCCGGGCTCCGGCCCTGGGAGGGGAGTGCTGGAGCAGCGCAGGAGAGGGCTTTGGCCGTTGAGGCCATTAGGGAATTGCCAATCAATACAAGAAAGGCTTCTGCAGATTCTGGACCCGGCAAGATAGCTGTTACTGCTCCAAAGAAGCCAGAGAGGCCAGCCCAGGAGCGGAAGGTAGCCTTGGATCCAGGGGGCTCCTCTCAGCATTCAGACACCCTGGACACTGACAGACCAAAAGCTGGATTCCAGGAACTGGACTGTGTGGGGTGCAGGCCAGTTGAGGTATGTCCCTGGGAAGTGGAGGAAGCGCCTACCAGTGAAAAAGCCAAGATTTGTCCCTGGGAGGTCAATGAAGGAGCTACTGGGAAGGGACTGGAGCAAGAGTTGGGGAGTGATTCAGCAAGTCAGAGGGAGGAAACTCTAGAAAAGGGGAGACTCACCTCTCTAGAAGAAAACATATCAAAATGGGAGACAAAACTGAATCAAGAGCAGGAAGCCATTTGCCCTCAGGAGAAGGACTTGAGGGAACCCTCTGCTCAGGCTTCGGAGGTCTCAGACTTGTCCATCAGCATGAGTAGCAAAGTGGCAGAGGGGCATTCTTTGGAAGTGAGTGAGGAGGCAGCAGAGAAAGGGGACCTGACACAAGACCCAAAGACAGGCTCCCTCCCAGAACACATAACCCAAGAAAAAGCTCCATCTTCGAAAGGAGAAGAATTCACTACTGAAGATGGGGAAAAAGCAAGCAATGAGCTAAAACCTATCTGTTCACACGAGAGCATGGCCCCAGCAGGTTCTTCCTTCCACGCAGACAGTCAGTGCCTTGACCAATCTAAAGCTGGCTCTCGGGCGCCGGTCAGCATTGGGGGCAGGCTCACTGAGGGGTGCCCATGGAATGCTCCTGCCCTGGATGCTCATGCACCTGACAGCAGTGCCAAAGCTGAGATCTGTCCCTGGGAGGTGACTGAAAGAATCCCTGAGGAAGAGGTGTCAAGACTGGATGGAAAAGGGGAAGCTCAAGAGAAGGAGGGGAAAGCCCCAGAAGAAACAGAGCCTGAAGTTGCAGCAGTTCAGGAAAGGCCAGAGAGGGCAGATGGGAAGCAGGAGGCTGTGTGTCCCCAGGAGAGTCAGGATTGTGGAGGTCTGTCTCCACAACCAGCCCCACCAGCTCCTGACAGAGGCAAAGGCAGTTGTGAGGCAGCAGGCAGTGTGGCGGCAAGGGTAGCAGAAGTGTGTCCGTGGGAAGGGGAAGAGGCGCCCTCTGCCAAGAAAGCAGAAATCTGCCCTTGGGAGGTGAGTGGAGGAGCAGCAGAGAAATGGGGACTGGAACAAGAGGTGGACAGAGAATCCCAAAGGCAAGGAGAGATGTTCCTTCAAAAGGCAGGATCTGGAGGGACTGAAGAACTCTATTCAAAAGAAGCAGCCAAAGTCAGCAGAGAGCAAGAGACAGTCTGCCCCTGGGAAGGCACAGGTTCTGGGGGGCTCCTCCCCCAGCCAGATGCTCTGGACACTGACCAACTTGCAGTCAGTCTCCATGGAGCAAGCAGTATGGGGAGCAGGATGGCAGAGCTGTGTCAATGGGAGGTCACAGATCCAGAAGGAAATATAATAAAGGGCACCATGGCAGACATCTGTCCTTGGGAGGAAACTAGAGCCCCATCTGAGGAATCTGGCCTCCTGGCTTTAACTGCAACTCAGACAGAAATATTTTTCCCCACAGTCCCTGAGAAACCACCACACCTTTTAGTCCACAGACCTCTGGGTAGCTTCCTTCCAGAGAGCAAAAGCCCCCGCCCCAAGGTGAGCAAGCCAGCCGGTACTATTACTCTGGAAGGTGTCAGGGAACTCCAAGGACCTTCAGGACTTGGGCCAAGGACCAGCTTAGCCCCAGAGCCAAGTCTCCAAGAAGCTGAGGATCAGAAGTCTTCCTTCTTAACTGAAGACCAAGGAGAAGTAGCTTCTAAAGCTCAACATGAAGAATTTGCCCCTCCAACTGTCTATCCTTGGGACTGGGAGTGACAACTCCATCAGGTGAGGTGGCTAGTTTTCAGGAACCATGGTCTCTTCCAAGTCCGAGGTGTTCTCAAAGAGCTGAATCAAAGACACTTGGCCACATCCCCTCTCCAAGAAGGCCAGAAGTCAATTCATTCCAAAGACAAATTATACAAGAAGGGTGCAGCTCAGACCCCAAAAGCAAGTCCCACCCTCTCTTTACTTCCAACTCTTCTTCCTTTTCCAGGGAACAAAGGCCAGATGCTCTGTTCCTAACGAAGCCTCCCATCGAGTTAGAGTCCTCAACACAAGCCATCTGTATCTGACACTCACTTGTAAAGCCAAAGTTAGGGATGACAGGACGTCAGCAGTGCCCAGACCACATTTTCTCATAGGGAGACCCAAGTCTTCTCTGAAGGCTACAAAGGACCATTTTTTTTAGAAGAAACTAAGCCACACAAGGCATTGGTTAACATGGAGACTGAGGATCAGAGAAGGCTATTAAGGTCACCATAGGATGCTTAAGAAGCCACTTAATTCAAGTTCAAAGATATTTGGTGGGGAAAATGGCTCAAAAGAGGTGCTGAAATGCTTTGCAGCCCTTGTCATTTTGACTTTGGATCTCCAATTTCCGCTTTACTGATTCTCATACCTGCCCTGCCTGACCCCTGAAGTAAAGCCCATCAAGCAATCCTACCTCCATATCAACACCTGCCATTCAAAGCAGCATCCGAGACAGAGAGCGTGGGAGGAAAGGCAATCGCTCCACGCAATGGCCAGGGTGGAGTTCTCCCTTCCAGAACCAACCCCCCAAGTCCCAGTTTAAGGAGTATGCGCCTCGCCAGCTTTCTCAGATGGTCTCCCCTTCTTCCTGCCCTGTCTTTTGCCAATCTCGAGAGTTCATCTCACCGGCTCATTCTCCTCATCTTAGCCTTTCTGTGCTGTCATTAAAGGGACCCCACTCTGTTGTCAATGCAGCTGGAGCCAGGGGGAATCTCTGATTCTGATGTGAGAACCACTCCAAATCACTTGCTCAGTAACAAGAGGCCCACATCAGTCTCCTTCCTGAGAATCCTGAGAAAGAAACGAGGTCCAGTTTACAGCCAGCACCGTAACTGCCCCGAAAAAGAGTAGTGCTCCAGGGCAGGTTAGAGGCCTGAGGGCCAGAGAAAGGGCATCGTGTACCTACAAAGCCTTCTTTCTTAGCTCTCTCTCCTTAGCTTGGTTCTGTTCTCTCAAGCGGTTCAGGCTACCCTTGCTTGAGTGGTCCTAGATAAGAGCACTGGAATCAGATGATACTACCAGAGCGAAAGGAGGGAGGAGAAAAATACTGGTCAAAGAAGTCCCAAGATTGGCAGGGGTGAGGTGAAGGTGGAAACAGGCAGATAAAATGTGGCAGAGGCGGGCAGGGGCCCTGAAGATGGCAGTAAGCCCATCCTCTAACTGGACAGATACCGATGCCATTCACGTGGAGGAAAAAGACAAAAATAAGAGACCAAACACCCAATGGGAAAAAAATGAGTCTGCATGTAAATACTCTGGGCAGCTACAGGACTTCAGAGAAAAACTAGCAAAGTGCTCCATTTCCAAAAAGGCGAAGAAATGGAGTAACCTGCTCTTTCAGGGACTGGATATCCTTGTTCCCATATCTAGGCCCTCCCACTTACCTAGGTCCCCTGCCCTGGGCTTTCAGAGCAGTAACTTGAGTATGTTGTTGCTCTGGGCATTGGCTAGTAAACCCCACAGCTTCTGAGCCAATGCAAATTTTGCTAACCACACCTCAGAATAATTCCATTGGGTCTGGTCTAGCCCGGAACAGAAAAGTTGTCCCTATACCCACTGTTGTGAAACAAACCATGGGGAAAAAAATAAAGAATGCTTTTCTTCTGACCACAGCAGTTGGTTCCAGCATATTTATTATGGTGATTTCCTTTTTTCAGTGTTTTAAACAGGAACAGTGGATAGGTGATGGAAGATCAGTGCCTGCTCTAAAGCCCATGGCAGCTACGTGGCAGCCTTCAGGACCTCGGGTGGTCTGGCTGATTTCAGCCAGTGCCCAGCTCTGTGGCTGGCACTGCAGATCTCTGCCTCGTCCTTCTAGCCAATCCTTTACATCTGGGCCATTCGCTCAGCTGGATTTGATCCCAAGGGGAATGAAACTGCACTTATCCTCTGGCCCCCTGGTGGCTGCTACTGCTTAGCTGCTATTAAGGATTATCTAGAGAGCCTGGAGAGGCAAATCTAGGGGTGTGGGGCGAACCAGCTTCTTTGAAGCACTGTTTTTACAGATTCAGGGAAATCAATGTATCGTTCGCCCATTAAGTGTGCTTTTTTTGTTCTCTGCTGCCCTCGCCTCCCTGGATTACCTCCCCCAACTCCTCACAGCTGTGGATCCTGCTCAAAGCACTCCCCTTCTCATTTTGCCTTAATCTGAGGCTCAGGCAAATAGGATGTGACCAAACCTCACTTGGGCAGTACATTTTAAGCTAAAAGGGTTGGGACTAAGTAGCATGATGAGAGTGGCTGCTCTGGATTAACCCATCAGCGCTGCCTCTTCCCCAAGCACACAAATCTTGTTTCCAGTCAGACTCGACAGCTGCTTACAAACATCAGTTTCCCTTGGTGAGGCCTGGTATGTTCACTGCTTCGCTGAGATGCTAGCTTTAAAGACTGAGGAGTTAAGTTACTCTTGACCTAATTCCAGTTTCTTTGGACTCTACTTTCAGGTCAAGGTCAGAACAGATTAATCCTTACCCTAAGTGACAGTCTCCTTAGAAGAAAATTCCAGGCTTGAAAAATAGAAACTATAAGAATTAAGGTCCTCTTTTTTAAGGGAGCCCATACTGGGCTGATGAAAGCAATAGTAGGATAAGCCAGCTGCACTGCTGGTAGAGTGATTTCCCTTGTCACACCTCAGATGACCCAGGACACATGCGCATGTGAAGTCCCACATACTCCCAGACAGCCCAAGTGGAGCTAAGGAACAAGGAGGGGCTGGGCTGTTTCACTCTGCAAAGGTTCATGTTCGGGTACCTTGCCTTCCCAGTGCTGAGATGGAAAGAAGAGTCACCATCTTCAAGAGGTGCTAGATGTCAGGAAACCAAGTCTTACAGATAGATTTCCCAATGTACCAACTCCTCCACGGTCCCTGCCCCCGCCCCACCATGCTTCCTGGGATCACACCAGGATGCAGCTGATAACTAAGAACACAATCCAAAGGCCAAGGGATAAATGATTTCTCTGGATTTACATCCTTCTATGAAATACAAATGCTGATTCAGTGGGCCAGTGTATGAGACAAGACCCTCTTAAATTACACCATCTTTTCTAAACACTAATTATTTTTCCCAAGTCTGGATTTCCTGGAAGTCATATCACTCATAAGTCAGCTTTTCTTCCATTTCTGCCATTTGAAGGTGAATCTGCTTCCAGCCTGAACCAGGAGAAATGTATAGAACCCACCACAATTTGTCCAACACCCTGATAGTGTTTTATTTCAAACTCTGATCCCTGCCCTGTTCTGCCAATTTGCTCCTGACAGTCCCTGCTATGGAAAAACCCGTATCAGATGTTCTCTGTAACATACCATCTTTCATCTAGACTCAGAGGCTAGACATAAAATTTTAAAAAGAAGTGGGTCTATTGCTATGCACAGCTGCCACCCTCCTGAGCCCAGCCATCAGCTGTGGTTATTAAAGATGAGACTACTGAAAAGACCCAAGCAGGACAGGAGAAAACAAACTTAGTTCTTTCTACAGCGTGATGGAGATGGATGACTTCACAGCTTCCAGCCACCTCATCACCCATGCTTCACCTCAGGAACCATTTTTGCCATCAGGCTAGCTGAGGCTTATGGGCCTCTCCTTGTGGCTCTTCATAGTCTTCCCAAGGTTTCAGCTGGGGACCAGGGATCATCACCGTCTGAAAGAGAAGGAAGCTGAGTTATCTACCATCCAAGCCCATGGCTTATCCAGGAGAGATTCACGCTTATCTCTAAGCCCACCCCCTACAGGAGGATTCTCCTTCCCCGGTGCTGCATCACCCTGTCTCTCCACCAGGTGGAGCCCAACAGGAATGGCTCAGGACGCCATGAGTACCGCCTCGGCTCTCTTAAACCACGCAAGCTGCCTACCTTAAGGATGGGTTGCTTAGGGGGTGCCCATGGTGGGACAATCTTGCCGTGCATTCTCCAGCTCCCATAGGGGTTTACCAGGTGCTTTTCAAAAACAACATACTCCAGGACATCCTTGGGCACATCTTCCTGTCCATACATCAATCGGCCAAACCGATCATAGATGGCCAGAGTCTGGAAGGATGAGAGCAAATCTGGTCTGTTAGTCCTCAGAGTTGCTTGTTTTGTTTTGTTTTTGTTTCTGTTTTTCTGCTACACAACCATTTTTGAAACAACCATAACAAAACATTTAAATGGGTAGCAAAAAATTATCTCAGAATTGTGACTCTAGACTAACTGATCAACTACTAACACTTTACTCTTAGAGGTTTTGGGGGGAGAAGAAGAGGGAGGGGGTTGGAGTCAGCCCCAGGAAGGGTGGGAGAAACATCCTTGCACCCGTCTCAGTACAGCCAACTTCTTGCAGTGCGAAGCGGGCAGTGACAGACCAAGGAAGACCGTGGGCAGCTGGGCAGGACCTGGACAGCTGTAGCCGGCACTCCAGAGGTAGACACCCAGCCTGAGAGTGAAGAAAAACTGGGACGAGAGCAGACGGGGCCTCTACCTGCCGGGTGTGCATGCGGACGGTGATCTGGCCGTACATGTTGCCCTGGTTCAGCAGATTTGAACAGCGAACCTGAACCACCAGAGGTGGCTCTAAAGATTCTACGAAGCTCCAGCGCACGGTCTTATATTTGAGGTCCCAGACCATGTCCTGAGGGCAGAAGAGAGCAAGCTCAGTGGGTCTTCCCTCCCTTTAGGGAAGCTGCTGCTTCCTTCCACCCCTGCTCTCACTTCTTGCAATACTATAGCCAACGTGCAACTTTTCCCACCAAATGCTTTCTTGTGCCTCTTTTCTCTCTCACCTTTCCAAGTTTTCATTAAGCTATAACTCAAGCCCACCTAACAATAACTCTTCATCTAAATCACAACTCAAGGCCAACCTACCTCCTTGAGGACCCTTCTCCAAATCAATGAAAACCACACTCCAAACTGCCTGCTTACCTAACACACCATTATCCCTCCAAGACACTTCCATAAGCTGCTAATTATTACGTGTATTTCTGTTGACTGCACACATGTGGTTTCCCCCCAACCTCACCTTTTAGCAGTGAAGGGTGGGATTTTACATGGATATAAGGCTCAACTGCTAAGACTAGCCTAGCTAGTCTTGTCCCTAGGGAGATGAGGCTGAACTGATAGCAAGTGAAGTTCCTATTCTTGAACCACAAAGTCTCCATTCTTGGGGGTCCTCCCAAAGTACCTAGCACTCCCGCTCCCACAAAATGTAAGCCTCATGAATGCCTGTTCAATCCTTTATTACACTGTAGGCGTGTGCAGGGCTGGCCTAATGTGGCCCACACCCTGCCCTCAGGACCCGTACCCTGAGGCTTCAGTACTGCTTACTGGCGTGCACAGCCCTTACCAGGGTGTGTGTCAAGTCATTATCATTCAGCCAAAAATAATGACACTTAAGCTTTTGCCTTAAACTTCCTGCACTTTCAAAACTGATCCTTTTTAAGTAAACCAGAGGTGATGTCTAGAATCTGCCCATTCAGGCATCCCACAGTTCTAAGGAGGATGAGAACCTACCGGAAAACAGTTTTCAGTTACCAAGGTATGAAGCCGGTCATGGTCTGAGCTAAAAAAGAAAGAGATATATATCATTGACTCCTGCTTTTATGATACTCTGTATGAAAGTTGAAAATACTCCTAGAAATGGAACACAATTCAATTCATTTTTACAAACATTTTCTGCACAGTTATTATAAGCCAGGTAATAGGCTAAGTCCTGGGGACACAAAGATGAAAATTATTTCAAATAAAACTCTGAGATCTAATAGCAAAGTAAAGTTATGTTTGAAGGGCCGGCCCCCTGGCCGAGTGATTGAGCTCGCACACTCTGCTTCGGCGGCCCAGGATGGCACCAGTTTGGATCCTGGGCACAGACATGGTACTGCTCATTGGGCCGTGCTGGGGTCGCATCCCACATGCCACAACTGGAAGGACCTACAACTAGAATATACAACTATGTACTGGGGGGCTTTGGGGAGAAGAAGAAAAAAAAATTAATTAATTTAAAAAAAAAGATTGGCAACAGATGTTAGCTCAGGTGCCAATCTTTATTTTTTATTTATTTATTTTTTTTGAGGAAGATTAGCCCTGAGCTAACATCCGCTGCCAATCCTCCTCTTTTTGCTGAGGATGACTGGCCCTGAGCTAACATCCGTGCCCATCTTCCTCTTCTTTATTTATTTACTCATTTATTTATTTTGTTGTGAGGAAGATTAGCCCTGAGCTAACTACTGCCAATCCTCCTCTTTTTGCTGAGGAAGACTGGGCCCGAGCTAACATCCATGTCCATCTTCCTCTACTTCATATGTGGGACGCCTACCACAGCATGGCTTTAGCCAAGCGGTGCCATGTCCGCACCTGGGATCCGAACCGGAGAACCCCAGGCCGCCGAGAAGCAGAATGTGCAAACTTAACTGCTGCGCCACTGGGCAGGCCCTTCCTCTACTTTATATATGGGACGCCTGCCACAGCATGGCTTGACAAGCGGTGTGTAGGTCCACACTCAGAATCTGAACTGGCGAACCCTGGGCCACCGAAGAGGAACGTGTGAACTTAACCGCTGCGCCACCAGGCCAGCTTGGTGCCAATCTTTAAAAACAGAAGAAAAATTAGGGCCGGCCCAGTGGCACAGCAGTTAAGTTCGCATGTTCTGCTTCAGCGGCCCAGGGCTTGCTGGTTCAGATCCCGGGTGCGGACATGGCACTGCTTAGCAAAAGCCATGCTGTGGTAGGTGTCCCACATATAAAGTAGAGGAAGATGGACATGGATGTTAGCTCAGGGCCAGTCTTCCTCAGCAAAAAGAGGAGGATTGGCAGTAGTTAGTTCAGGGCTAATCTTCCTCAAAAAAAAAAAAAGAAGAAGAAGAAGAAAAGTTATGCTTGACTCTCAGGAGCAGAAAGAAATTTCTCTGAAGTTATCATATATCCTTAAGATGGGCAAGAGATTCTAACAGGACATGGGGATCAATATTTGTTCTAGATGCTAAAGGGAATGAAATCCAACACAAATAATCAGAAGCTCATCTTATCTCCTCTGACCTCAGACACACCATTAGTACAACTGAATTCTCCTTGTATCTATATTCTTATCTATGAACTAAGCCAAAAGATAATCATCTGTCTTTTCTGGTCCTTTCTTTTTATCTCCCCATCTTTGGTGCTGCCAGAGTGACCTAGTCATGCTGATTCTATGAAGTAATAGTAAGAAAACAGACAGCAAACCCCAGCTCCTGTACATACAAGATTTTAGCAGGGTTCCTAACCGAGGGGTTTCAAATAAACCTAAGATCACAGATTAGTTTCTTTCAGATACACATTCATAATTTTTCCCCAAAGTTTAATACTTTCTGGGAAGTTTAAGCCTTTGTCCCTTTGTAAAATCTTGTCTCTACTCCCAGAGTGAGTAAGGGATTAGATCTATCTGCTTCCCTTGCACCTCTATTCCTTCTTTTTTTTTTTTTTTTTGAGGAAGATTATCCCTGAGCTAACTACTGCCAGTCCTCCTCTTTTTGCTGAGGAAGACCAGTCCTGAGCTAACATCCATGCCCATCTTCCTCTACTTTATATGTGGGACGCCCACCACAGCACGGCTTTTGCCAAGCAGTGCCATGTCTGCACCTGGGATCTGAACCGGCGAACCCCAGGCCACTGAGAAGTGGAACATGTGAACTTAACCGCTGCGCCACCAGGCCGGCCCCAGCACCTCTATTCCTAAGAGAAAATATTTCAAACCATTTCCTCCACTGTAGCTTGAGACTAGACCAGACTAGACTGGACTGAGTCGTGGTGACAGCTACCAGGATTACATGCCTGGCACCTCTGAATGAACTCTTCCTCTTCACTATCTCTAGAAATATTCAGTAGAGATAAATTCCCGTTTCCATGAGCTCACTTCCTATTTTGCAATAGAACTTACCCTGAAAAATAAAAGGAAGACATCTGCTTCTGGCAACATAATGGACTGAGCAAATGTGAAAGTACTCCCATTATAAACACAGAAAGAATATAATATACACAGACACAGACACAGTTTTTAATACTCTAGTTCACAAGAAAGGTAAATCACCAGATGCTAGAAAGGAAAAGGAACTAAAACCAGAATGGAAAGAATACAACCTGATACCGTGACAGCACAGGGCATGATTAAGGGATCCAGAAATAGGATCTATGGCTAGGACCTGACTCTTCCCAAAACCTTGGACCCTCAAAGGGCAGGCAGCTGGAACTGAGATCCCTGCATTAAGCTATGATCCTCAGAGCCCTGCACTGGCAGCAAAGGGAAACTAGAAACACAGTCCACCAACAGAGAGAGAAAGCTGCTCTCTCTCCAGGGCTGAGTGAGGGGAAAAAAATAAAAACTAAAAAACTGAAGCTCTAAGCCTATGTTACACTCAGATGTAGACACAGAATTTATGGCACCTGTATAGTGTAAGAATTCCTAAGCTAAGAAATTAACATTAAAACTATACCTGGTCAATGATATGCCTGGGGCATCTGGAAGAAACAGACACAAAACCTCTCTGGGAGCATATTCATAACTTAACTTGTTTAGAATCCCCTCAGAAGAAACAATCTCCACTGAAGATGAGCTTACAACTAAACATTACAAAATGTACTTAGAATCTATCAAGCAAAAGTCAACAGACACAGACATGAAGTAAAACGAGAGAGTAGGAAGTTCTAGGGGTGAGTCCTTCCATCAAAACAACTGACATACTGGAAAAAAATGACCAGAACCACTGTTGCAGAACTCTGGATTCTGACTGGACACTTATAACAACCAAGGCAGTGCTTGATGAAGGGAGAGGCCACAGGTCTTGGGTAGAAGAAAATCTGTGCAAACCCCCTGCCACCCCTTCCCTCAGCCCTGCCAAGACGGGGAAGATGGCCCACACTCCCAACGTGGATGGCTGGTGCTAAGTCAGGCAGTGGGGACTCTGCTCTTTAAAAGTTTGGGGTTGCACATTTTGGTCAGTCTGGTGGACTACAGAGAGACCAAGACAGATGAGGCCATGGTTTCGGCCCTGTTGTTGCAATAGCTTCTCCCACTGGCATCTATCAGAAGATTTAGAGGGACAAATGAACAAGAACATCTGTTTTGTTTTTATTCAGCCAGACATTTAAGGAAATCTTTGTCAGGTCACTGGCTGACTGCAGAGACAACATAAGAGAAACTTGGATGACTACACATAAAAAGAATACACACTTAGCAATATCAGTTTAGAACAGTCACAAACGGATGGCAGCAGCACTGATGAGCAAAGTCAGCAATTCCTCAGGAGTAGAGGAATCTGATTTTCAGAGTTATCACACTATAATACTTAGAATGTCCAGTTCTCAACAAAGAATTACCAAGTATACCAAGAAACACAAAAGTATGGCCACTCACAGGAAAAAAATACTTTGACAGAATCCATCCCTGAGGAAGCCCAGACATTGAATTATTAGTTAAAGACGTTAAATCAACTGTCCTAAATATGCTCAAAGAGATAAAAGGAAACCATAGACAAAGAGCTAAAGGAAATCAGGAAACTATGAATAAAATAAGAACATCAGTAAAGAGATGGAAATTATGAAAAGGAACCAAACCAATTCTGGAGCTGAAAAGTACAATAACTGAAATAAAAAATTCACTACAGGTGTTGAAGAGCGGATCTGAGCAGGCAGAAGAAAGGATTAGCAAACTCGAGGATAAGGTAATTCAAATCATCCAGTCTGAGGAGCAAAAAGGAAAAAGAATGAAGAAGAAAGAACAGAGCCTGAGGGACCTGTGGGACACCATCATATATACCAACACACATATCATAGGAGTCTTGGAAGGAAAAGACAGAAAGGGGCAGAAAAAAATATTCAAAGAAATAATGGCCCAAAACATCACAAATCTGATGAAAGACATGAATATGCACATCCAAGAAGTTCACCAAACTCCAAACAAGATAAACTCAAAGAAATCCATGCTGACAAACATTACAGTCTAAGTGTTAAAACCCAAAGACAAAGAGAATCTTTTTGTTTCTTTCTTTCTTTCTTTGTGTTTTTTTGCTGAGGAAGATTCACCTAAGCTAACATCCACTGCCAATCTTTCTCCTTTTTTTTCACGTGAGCTGCCATCACAGCATGGCCACTGACAGAGCAGTGGTGTAGGTCCATACTCAGACCAATGGAAGAAAATGGAGAGTCCAGAAATAAATCCTCACATACATGGTCAATTGATTTTCAACAAGGCTGCCAAGAACATTCAACGGGAAAGGACAGTCTTCAACAAATGGTACCTGGGAAAACTGGATAGTTACATGCAACAGAATGAAGTTAGACCCTTACTTTACACCACATACAAAAATTAACTCAAAATAGATCAAAGACCTAAATGTGAAAGCTAAAACTATAAAACTCCTAGAAGAAAATGTAGGGGGAAAACTTCATGACATTGGATTTGGCAATGATTTCTATTATTTGGCACCGAAACCACAGCCAACAGAAGAAAAAAACATATAAATTGGACTTCATCAAAATTAAAAACTTTGTGCATCAAAGGATACTATCAAGAGAGTAAAAAGACAACCCAGAAAATGGGAGAAAATATTTGCAAAGCATGTATCTGATAAGGGATTAATATCCTGAACATGTAAAGAACTCCTACAACTTGACAAAATAACAACTCAATTCAAAAATGGGAAAAGGACTTGAACAGACCTTTCTTCAAAGAAGATACACCAACGGCCCACAAGCACTTACAAAGATGCTCAGCACCACCAGTCAGCAGGGAAACGCAAGCAAAACCAAAACAAGACACCACTTCACATCCTCCAGGAGGGCTCTCATAAAAGGAGGAAAAGAGCAGGTGTTGGTGAGGATGTGGAGAAACTGGAACCCTTGTGCATTGCTGGTAGGAAAATAAAATGGTGAAGCTGCTGGGGAAAACAGCATCGTAGTTCCTCAAAAATTAAACATAGAATTACCACATGATCCAGCAATTCCACTCCTAGAACTGAAAGCAGGAACTCAAACATAGACCTATATACCAATAATCATAAAAGTACTATTCACCATAGCCAAAAGGTGGAAACAACCCAAATGTCCACCAACAGATGAATGGAGAAACAAAATGTGATACATACATATAATGGAACATTATTCAGCCTTAAAAAGAAAGGAAACGCTGACACATGTAACAACATGGATGAACTCAGAAGACATTATGCCAAGTGAAACAAGCCAGTCACATAAGGACAAACACTGTAAGATTCCACTTGTATGAAGTACTTAAAATAGGCAAATTCATAGAGACAGAAAGTAGAATATACATGACCAGGTGCTAGGAGGAAAGAACAATGGAGAATTACTGCTGAAGAGGTACAGAGTTTCTGTTTGGGACGATGAACAAGTTCTGGAGATAGTGGTGATGACTGCACAACTTCGTGAATGTACTTAAGGCCACTGAATTATGCACTAAAAAGGGTTAAAGTGCTAAATTGTACATTACGTGTATTTTAACATAATCATTAAAAGCCCTTATTAAACTGATAATTTTTAAATAAATGGTTACATCCTTCATCTTAAAAAATACCTATTTGGAAATGTAGGCATACAAAAAGACAAAAACTAACCAAAAACAAAAGAAAAAAATAAGATAAAACAGACCTACAGGAAAATATAGATTTTATCAGATGCAGACCTTAAAATAGTGTAATTAGCATGTTCAAGAAATTACATGAAAGAATGGAGAATTTTAGCAAAGAACTGGACACACACACACACAAAATTTTCAAATGAAAATTCTACAAGCAGAAAAACAGAAAATAAGTATAAAATTAAGAACTCAACAGATAAGTTTAACAGCAGACTGGATACAACTGAAGAGAGGACAGACAGATAGATCAGAAAATATCCAAATTAAGCTGGAGGGGGAAAAAAAGATTGGGAAATATAGAAAAGAGTCCAAGAGATATTTGGCACAGAGTGAAAAGATCTAACGTGTATTCAGAGCTACACAAGGAGGCAAGAAAGTGGAACAGAAGCAACATTTGAAGAGATGTTCTAAGAATTTTCCAACACTAACAAAAAAAGCACCCAAAGATTTAAAAAGCAATAGGAACCCAGAGCAGAATAAAGACACACATACAAACACACACACACACATCAGTACATCACAGTAAACTGCTGAGCACTAAAGGCAAAGAAAAACATCTTAAAAGCAGCCAGAGAAAAAAGAAACTTTAACTTCAGAGGAACAAGAAAAAATAGCTAACTTCTCAATAGAAACAAGAGAAACCAAAAGATGACATCTTCAAAATGCTGATGGAAACCAGCTACCAACCTAGAATTCTCTACCCAAAGAAAACATCTTTTAAAAATGAAGTGAGGAAAAAACCTCATGAACAAAAAATGAAGGTGAAATAAAAATAAGGCTGTACTAAAAAACTAGATAACAGAACATGGAAGATGTATGAGGTACAGATTTGAATTCAAGTGTTCAAAGGTTCTCGTCATATTAAGTCAAGAATATACGTTAAACATTTTAACAATAGCTACTGAGAGAACAGAAGTAGAACGTAACACTTCCAAATAAGTGGAAGGAATGAAAAAGGAGGAAGGAAATTACATCAATCCAACAAGTGAAGGAGAAAAAGCAGCAAAGAAAAATCATGGTAAATAGAATGCACAAAATAACGTGGTAGAAAAAAAATCAAATATACAAAAAACTATGTTGAACAGTAAAAATAGCAAGTTTCAAAAAGATACATACAGTATCATTCATGTAAATTTTCACAATACATAAAGCAATAATGTACATTGCATATACACATGTACATGTGGTGAAAGTATAAAAATATGCATGGGAATGATACACACGTAGGATAGAGGTTATCTCTAGGAAGGAAAAGAATGGGGAGATGGGGCTTTAGCTATATCTGTAATGTTTTATCCCTGTCCCTTCCCCCGACTAGGCATTCTGAAGTAAATATGACAAAATGTAAACATGTATTAACTTAAATGGTACCTATATGTTTTTATACGTTTGAAATATTTCATAATTAAAAAACTTTTTTTAAGAAATAAAATAAAAGTAGGGGCCAGCCCGGTGGTGCAGCAGTTAAGTTCACACGTTCCACTTCTCAGTGGCCAGGGGTTCATTGGTTCAGACCCTGGGTGAGGACATGGCACTGCTTGGCAAGCCATGCTGTGGCAGGCGTCCCACATATAAAGTAGAGGAAGATGGGCATGGATGTTAGCTCAGGGCCAGACTTCCTCAGCAAAAAGAGGAGGATTGGCAGTAGTTAGCTCAGGGCTAATCTTCCTCAAAAAAAAAAAAAAAGAAAGTAAGAAAAGAAAAGTAAAAGGAAATACTTAATGGATTTTATACTACAGGTTTGGTGTCCTCTCTGAAGCCTAGCCACAGCATCCTCAGTTCAAGAGTATCAGCAACAGTCCAAGGAGTGGTACTTAAAATTATTCCAGGCCTCTCGTTGATTTTTCATCTCCCTAGCAGCCGTGACTTTGCCCTTGGTTGCATGAAGAAAAAGTTTGAAATTTCCAAAAGAAATTTATTCAAAATAACTAAGGAAAGGGAAATGTACATATATAAGACAAGCACACACAAAAAGGGTCAGGATGAATAGGGATCAGGTGGGGTGAAACAGCAGCCCTTCAACAGAGTCTCCCAACACTTGTAAGTGGAGCTGAGCCAGACCAAATGGTGAAAACTGCCAGAAGCACAGAGCGGAGTCAAGCACAGCTCCAGGCTCCAGCTATTTGCCACACAGGAAGTTCTCCCACTCTAGAATTCTTACCTGAAGGGAAAAAAAAAATCTGTGCCTAGAATAATAGCTGCTGAGAAGATAACGAGTAAAAGATAGGGAGTTTACTTACTTGTTTAGACAAAGGTGAGCTTCAATGAAGATATTCTTAGCTTTTTCAGGGAAGTCCTTTATTTTAAAATTAGCATCACATTCTCTTATCCTCCGGATTCTGTAAAATTAAGCAGGAGAATCATTTCTAAAGAAGACTTCACACAATTTCCACAACTCACAGCTTACATTAACCTCCACTAATGTCTGTCCATTTATTCAATAATTATTTTTTGAATGTGCCAAGTCTTGTAAATTCAACCTTCTAACACAACTTAAATCAATCATTCTAAAGAAAGACCAAGGTTGGGGCCAGCCCAGTGGCGTAGTGGTTAAGTTCACATGCTCCACTTCTGTGGCCCAGGGTTCACAGGTTTGGATCCCAGGTGCAGACCTACACACTAATCAAGCCACACTGTGGAAGCATCCCACATACAAAACAGAGGAAGACTGGCACAGATGTTACCTCAGGGACAATCTTCCTCACACACACACAAAAAGACAGAGCAAGGCTTCTCATAGTGAAATTTCAGAATTCTGGCATCAAAGAAAACATTCTCTAAGCTCTTAGAAAGAAAACACAGGTTTCACACAAAGCCTCAAGAGTCAGAATGACATCAGGCTTCTAATTAGCAACATCAGAAGTTAGAAAGATAGGGGCCAGCCCAGTGGCCCAGAGGTTAAGTGCGCACATTCTGCTTCGGCAGCCCGGGGTTCGCCGGTTCCGATCCTGGGTACAGACATGACACCACTTGGCAAACCACGCTGTGGTAGGTGTCCCACATATAAAGTAGAGGAAGGCATGGATGGGCATGGATGTTAGCTCAGGGCCAATCTCCCTCAGCAAAAAGAGGAGGATTGGCAGCAGTTAGCTCAAGGCTAATCTTCCTCAAAAAAAAAAAAGTTAAATTAAAAAAAAAGATGTTAGAACGATAAGGAGCAGTGCTTTTAATTGAGGAAAAAATTATTTCTAGCCAAGAATTCTATACTTGGGCAAATTATGAAACAAGTGGGAGAGTAAAAGAAAGACTTTTCCTTAAATTTGCAAGATCTCATTTATCTACCGTACACCTTTTCTCAGGAAGCTGCTGGGGAATGTGCTCCACCAAAATAACAGAATAAATCATGAAAGAGAAAGATGTAAAATCCAGGAAACAGGGAATACAACACAAGAGCAAGGCAAGACAAACATCAGGATGATGACCAAAGGAGATCCCAAGACATCCAGTGGGATGGGGTAGCTCAACTTCCTGACATCCCTTGTACTGAGAGGAAATTCATACAACCAGGGGTTCTGTGAGCAAATGGGAAAAAAAGACACAACTCCAGAAAAAAAAAATATTATGCAAGAAAGGCAGAGTTATGATAATGTACTGCATGACTCAGCTGTCAACAGCGTTTTCATAGCTCTAACAACATAAACAGGGAGTTTACACCTAATCAAAGTGTGACTGTAAGACTACTCAGAGGATGAGAGACACCATGACCAAGTGGCATTTATCCCAACAAGGCAAAGTTGGCTTAACATTCAAAAATCGATTAATGTAATACACTGTATCAATAGGATAAAGGACACATACCACATGATCATCTCAAAAGACACAGAAAAAGCATTTAACAAAAACTGAACAGTCCCTTCACCTCAGAGCCTGCTTGTCCTGTTTTGTCTCCCTAGATGCTATTTCTCACTACACCCCTCTACCCAGCTAACTCCAAGCAATTCTTTAGGTCCCAGCTTTAAATGTCATTTCCTCAGGGAAGCCTTTCCTGAACTCCCAGACCAAGTTATCTTCCCCACGTGTTCCCACAGCGCTCATCCTTCGCCACACCTGTAATTATTTGTCTGCAATCAGTATTTTAATGGCTGTTTTCCTCCCCGAGATGATAACTCCATAAAACCACATGTGTTTTGCTCATCATCGTCACGTGTTTTGTTGATCATCTCTACTACCAAAGAGCTCACAGTCCAGGAGAGAAATACATGAAAGCAAATCATCGCAGTATAGAGTTATTAGAAGCAGTAAGTGTAAGTCTACAGTTACCATTACAGCACAGGCAGCCCCAAAAAGAGTCCGAGAAGGCTTAAAAGCGCACACAATGCTCAACTGGTTCTTGAGGAACAAGGCTGGAGTTACCAGGTAAAGAAGGCGCAAAAAGACATCTTCAGGCAAAGGAAAAGATGTGCAAAGACACAGAGGCATAGCACAACACTGCCAAGGAAGTGGCAGTCAGTTTGGAAATGCTTAAGTTTAGGAGGAGAAAAATGGAATGAGATGACGGTGGAGAGGAAGGCAAGAGCCAGATTTTAAAAAGCCCTGAATACCACTGAAGAAATCTGTATTTTATTCTTCAGGTAAGAGGGAGCCACAAAAGAGTGTAAGCAGGAAAGGTGATGTGTTATTTAGAGAAATAAGTTATGGCCACATGAAGAATTAACGCTGACTCAATATACTTGTGCACAGAAATCTAAATATGACCCTAAAGAACCTCCGAGTGACAAATACTAAATGTTTCTGTCCTTTCAACAAAAAGAGAGACTAAGAAGAAGGTTTTGGCTTCTGCTCCTTAACTAAGGCGCAGTTAGCTCCCTAGAAAAGGTCTGTCTTCTTGATCCTTTTTGGCTTTTCTTACTCTCTGAAGTTTAAACTCTAAGGTACTTCTAATATAAATATGCTCTCTTTTGTTATTATTTTAAATTTTTAAATATGTGATCAAAAAAGTGTCCTACAAATGCCAAAGTCAAATCCCTAATGTGACAAAAGCTACCAATAAAGGTTGAGATGCTAAGAATCAGAATGCCCACATTCTACATTAAGCACAGACTCTGTTACAGAGAAAGAAAATTCTGTCAAGTTATCAAGGGAGTTATATCCAACCCAATTAACCCAAGAATAAAGTAACAATAAGAGATTTTTAGGGGCCGGCCTGGTGGCACAGTGGTTAAGTGCGCATGTTCCGCTTTGGCAACCCGGGGTTCTCCGGTTCAGATCCTGGGTGCGGGCACAGCACCGCTTGGCAAGCCATGCTGTGGTAGGTGTCCCACATATAAAGTGGAGGAAGATGGGCACGGATGTTAGCTCAGGGTCAGTCTTCCTCAGCAAAAAGAGGAGGATTGGCAGCAGTTAGCTCAGGCCTAATCTTCTTCAAAAAAAAGAGAGAGAGATTTTTATTCTACTATCCACTCCCAGTTGTCTCAGACACCTACGACAATTGTGATGCCACATTCTTCTTCAATCGCTCAGCTCTCCGTGCCAGTCCTTCCTTTGAAAGAGATGACACTCGAGCATCACCCTCTGGAGGAACATAGGCGTCAAAGATACCAGCTGTAATGACAGAAGGAGAAAACTAAAATAACAGTGAAAGACTGAGAAAAAGTCATCTTGAGGTCATATAAAATTGGCAGGGATCCTGGCTATAAACTAGACTAACGAAACAGACTTCCATGTAGACGGAATCATGTTACATTAGAAAAACCAGAATAAGATAATTTAAGTTTTCTTTCAGAACCTCGGTTTCTTCTTGTACCAAATGGAGAAATTTCACCTTTGCCTTCTAGGAATAGTGTGAAAACAAGATGACCTCACGAAATATAGCATATACAAAATCATGACTGAGGCTTAACTGATTTTGTGGTTCATTAAATGCTGTCAACCATAGTCCAAATCATTCCACTTTCCAGATCTCTGGCAGCAGGGGTTTGGGTCAGGATCTCAGAAATACCATGCCTCACCTGTACAGGCCAGATGTATGGGGCGCTCCAAACGTTCGGGGGGAATGACCAGTCCTGCTTTCCGGGCATGCTCTACAAACTCCTTTTCTGATTTGAATTTAGATTCATAAGTAGGTGGTGTGAAACGTTTTTTAGTTCTCACTGGAACTACAGCTGTGGACTGAGTCACCAGGACTGGCTGGAAGACAGGCAAAGGTTAGGATATGGGTAACTCAGAAAAAAATCTACCACCTTGAACAAAGACAGAAAGGGCACATCCAAAGAATGACTTAGGAACAAATACAAAGCCACATATATGGGGAAATGCATTACTACCTTAATACTTCTGGGTGTCTCTTACTAGAAGCCAGTAAGCAACCTTTACTAACACCATTCAATATTTACTAAAGGCTTTCCTTTAGTACTTTTCATAGTACAAGACTATGCCAACTCCAGGGATGCAGAGCTGATTAAAGCAAAACTTCCGCTTTGAAAGAACCTTCAGTCTGATGGGGAACTTAAACACCAACCCAATACTGAAATGAGGAAAATGCTATTATTAAATCATACGAAAAGTCTTCTTGGCATCTCCTCTATATTTACTCAGATTACATTCTGCTCATTCTACTGGGAGCCTCACTGTCAACTTTGTTCCGTCGTTCTAGCTCCCTAGTGATCAATAATCTTTTTAAAGGCCAAGTCTCTTTTTTCTCTGACCATGAGGTTTGTTGAAGCAGGTACAGTGACAATGTGGGACTCCCTCCGTTCCAGCTACTGCTCAATTTAGGACATTTATAAGAATTAAGAGGAAGCGAGCCCACTTTCCAAATCATCACATCTCTCTCATTTAACACCTCCCCGCCAGACAGACCAAGACCAAACTGAAGAGACTTAATCCTGGAGAAACTTAATCTTCGAGAACTTGCTCGCCCTCACGACCCTACCCAGGCTCTCCCCACTCGACCACTTAGCTCAGTAGCTAGGTCCTGTCTATCTCAAATTCTTCCCTAACCTAAATTTGACTCGCATCGTCCATTATCACCAAGGACAACTGCAAAGCGAGTATTTCCCTCTGCTCTCTCCTCCTCTTCCAGCCTCCGGAGTCCTATCCGCCCCGTCCCTACCCACCTGCCGAGACCACCGTCCTAAAGCCCTAGGTAAGCAAGACAATCCCCGCGGCATGGAGGCTGCCATTTTGTTCACGCAAAGGCCGCCGGGATGGGGACGAAGAGCGAAGAGCCTGGGGCAGGAAACAGGGCGCATAGGGTGGAGTTAACTCGGGTGTGGAATTTTCCAGGGCGCGCGCCTCCGCCGAAGTGTGAGCGGCGCGAACGCGCACGTGCGCGTCGCGGGGGGGGAGAGGTGGGGTGGCTATGGACTGCGCGTGCGCAGCAAGAGGGCGTTGGGGGCAGGGTGGAATGCACGGCTGTCACGCGCCAGCCTGAGAGCGCTGGAACGCAAGCTGGGCTTTCGCGCAAGGTTTTCTGGTGGCCAGGAGTTGGTACTTTTTTATAGATTGGGACTTTGCTCTCCTTTCCATTTCGTAAAGAATGGAAAGGTGTTTCCCTTCTGAGACAAGTGGTTTTCTTCAATGGCTACTTGGATCCCAGAAAGTGCAAAAATTAATAGTTTCTGGGTCTGGGTAATCCTAAACCTGAGCCCTAGTTTTCCCAATCTGTACCTCCTGAAGAAATTCTGTCTAATTAAGGGAATTGATAACTACTATGTTATTGAACAAACATAATGAGCACTGGGTTTATTGAAGCAAAAGACACGTGGACTAATAACATTTGTTATTTGTCGTCTTGGGAAAGAGACATAGGTTTAATGTTAACAAATAATAGCTTATACTCAGAAATTGTTTACTGCATGCCAGGCAATTTTTTAAGCCTATTACATGGGTTAACTCAATTAGTTCTCACCACAAACAAATAATTCTCCTTTTACATATAAAGTTGGACCACATAGAAATTAAGTACATAATTTAAGGTCACAACACAAACAACTGGGAGAACTGGGATTCAAATTCAAGCAGTCTTACTCCAGAACCCATGCACAAACTATGATAGTGTATGGCTTCACATTCAGTTGTTAAAGAATTCATGATGTTGGGATCATCCTGGAAAATCCAGTGCTGTAATCATCGCTGAATGGCAAACACTTTCCACTTACCATAGGTTTTTATTTCATTCTGCCACTTAGTGTTTATTGAGCACTACCTACAGTATTTTACAATGAGTCAGGAGCTGTGGGCTGTACATACAAGAGCTGTTTACAGGCTAGAATAGAATTACTGCAAAGGTCCAGGTAAAATACTGGAAAGAGAGATTACTTTTGGGTTTGAGGATCATATATATTGTCTTAATTCTTTTTTTTTTTCTTGAGGAAGATTAGCCCTGAGCTAACTGCTGCCAATCCTCCTTTTTTTCTGAAGGTCCAGCTAAAATGCTGGAAAGAGAGATTACTTTTGGGTTTGAGGATCATATATATTGTCTTAATTCTTTTTTTTTTTTTTTTGAGGAAGATTAGCCCTGAGCTAACTACTGCCAATCCTCCTTCTTTTTCTGAGGAAGACTGGCCCTGAGCTAACATCCATGCCCATCTTCCCCTACTTTATATGTGGGACGCCTACCACAGCATGGCTTGCCAAACAGTGCTATATCTGCACCCAGGATCCAAACTGGCAACACCTGGGCCACCAAAGTGGAACATGCGCACTTAACTGCCATGCCATCAGGCTGGCCCCTGTCTTAATTCTTGACTTCTCATCTATACTGTAAATTCTTCAATGGTAAGAGTTCCCCTACAAGTCCTAGCCACAGCATTAAACCTATAGCATGACACATTAAAAGTAACATGAAATTAGGTGGGAGGGGCCAGCCGGTGACGCAGCAAGTAAGTTTGCACGTTCTGCTTTGTCGGCCTGGGGATTGCCAGTTCGGGTGTACACCTACACACAGCTTATCAAGCTATGCTGTGGCAGGCGTCCCACATATAAAGTAGAGGAAGATGGGCACGGATGTTAGCTCAGGGCTAATCTTCCTAAAAAAAAACAAAGAAAGAAAGAAATTAGGTGCTATATGTACATGTTAATTAAAAATATGTATTAAGCGTTTAAATGAAAGACATCTAATTATTTCTTAAGACTCCTGTCTATCTACTCTATGTCACAGAAAATGAAACAAATTCTTTTTACTGGACTCCCCACCAAAATGAGGAAACCTCCCTCCATGATAAGTGGTTATTGATTAATCAGGACATCGATATAGTCTATCTGAGATTATCTACTCCACTGTTGAGTTTTATGTTGGCCTCACACAGTAGCCAACACGTCTCACATCATCTCTGCCTACCCTCTGATCAGTTTCTCAGGGAATGCACTTGTTCCATATCAGCCTGGATAAAATAATACGAGGAGTCAATATCATTGAATTCATTCTGAGATGAATTATAAGTGGGCTTTTTTTATTAGCTGCTCTTTTGGGAAATTCATATTATCTTCCTACCTTATTAACTCCATGGAAAATTAGGAGCTGCCTGATGGGCAAGTAACACCAAAAGGATATTTCTAATCCTATAATCCTAGTAGTTCACATTTTAGAAAAAACAAGATAAGAGCAAGAGAAGGGGTCTCACTGTGCAATTAGAGGAAGGAATAAGGTATTTAGGGGCTCGACTTTACAAAGGACAGTCTTGCACATAGCAGACACTCAAATATTTATTTACTGAATAAATGGATGAGTAGAATCCTATGTGAAATATGATGAGGCAGAGGGCAAGGTTGATTTCCTCTTTCTCCAAACACAAGGGTTTCCTGGAATCTCTTGTTGTCATGTTGAAATTTATAAGTGGCGCCAACGAGGGTGAGTTATCTTGTGAGCAGTGGGCGTGTCTATGCATTTTTTTCTCCCAGTGGCAGATGACATCAAAGATTGGAACTCTGAAAGTTCTGCCTGATAGTCTACATTCCAGGAGAAGCACAGTTGACTTGAACAAGGAAAATGCTTCTGGAGAGTTGGAAGAATCTGATTACAATATGTTTATTGATTACAATAAACCACATGATTCTTGGATTGAAGCAAGTAGCAGGCTTGCCATGTGTTTGTCTTGTACTTCCCTCAACTTCACTGCTGAGTGACAGCATGAAGAGCAAAAGAAGTGAACCGTCTGAGATGAGGCAACATAGAAGAAACCAAGAATTCTGACTTTCTAAGAAATGTTCTCAACTGATTTATAGCTAACAATGTTAGCAGAACTTCTTTGTCACTCTAAGAGTTGACAATTATGACTCTCACATAATGGATAAAAATGCTGTAGTGCCTGAGCTTACATCTTAGCTGCACCTTTTTTCCTCACCTGTAGAAAGGGGGTAATTAAGTATCTAATAGAATTAACTCATTTAATGTTCCCCCTCTGGTTAGTTATGGCCACTGCTTCCAAGCCCCATTATAGCCCTAGAAGGGATATCCTGGTAAGTGTAACTGCTCTTTGTGCTGGACACAGATAACATGCCTGCCCCCAGAGTCCACCCCAGTGCAGTGTCTGTAAAGCAAGAGAGCTCTCAACCTGGATATGAACTGGAAATCCTCAGGACGCCCTATGTGTTAGCTCTCTTCCCCTCGGGAGCAGTTCTCACCTCTGTTGAAGCTAAGACCACTGAAATGCAGGTTGTTTCCAAACCCGAAAGTAATTCCTTATTTCTGAGCTGCCTGACTTTCTCCTCCGAGCTGCTCTTCTTTCTCATCCGTCCTTCCACTCATCCCTGCTCCTGGGCGCAAAGGCCTTTTCCTTTACCTTTTTCTCCCTGCCTCAGACTCCTTATTTCTAAAGGTATATTTAGGAAGAGATATTGCTCATCCTGGCTCAGCTAGAAAAGAAGTGCATGCATCCCGCTGTTAAAGCTAGGTCTAGAATTAATCCCGCCCCTCTTCTTGATCCACTTTCACCACAGTTGGCTAAATCAAGCAATAATCCTAAAAGGGAGTATCAGGCTATTTGTGACTTCACCTCTCCCCCCCACGCCACACTTAGGGAGGAGAGAGCAAAGCCCCTGGATCAGAGTAATCTGTTTCTAACCCACTTCCATTCCCAGGGATTACCTCTGCAGGAGGAGGGAGACAGAAATAAATCTGACACCCTAGTGCAGGGAACTTGGGCAAGAAGCTGCAGGAGTGCCTGTAGGTCTGTAGGCATGAAACTCAGGAGCCTGGGAGCCTGTTCTTGTATGCTGGGGTACCCTGTAAACGGGTCCACAAACCTAAAACGCAATGCCTAGTGTACTATTTGGCAATGATAGGCACTCTGTAAATGTGTTGAACAAAAGAATGAAAAGTATATAGGTTGTGGGCTGATGAAGGCAGAAACAATTCCCTGGTTATACCTACAACCTCATATAAGGTCTGCATATAAGGAGACCAACTTATGGCTAAAGTCAATCAACAACAAATAGGGAGGTGTGATATAGCGGAAAGAGCTCCGAGTTAGGAGGCTAGAAACATGAGTTCTAGTCCCACCATTGCCGACAGTGACTGACCCTGTGGCCTTAGGCTAGTCACTTTGCGTCTCTGATCATTAATTTTCCCCATTAAAAAAAACGTAACTCTCTGGGGCCAGCCTGGTGGCACAGAGGTTAAGTTCTCATGTTCCGCTTCTTGGCGGGCCAGGGTTCACTGGTTCAGATCCCGGGTGCACACATGGCACCGCTTGGCAAAAGCCATGCTGTGGTAGGCATCGCATCTATAAAATAGAGGAAGATGGGCACAGATATTAGCTCAGGGCCAGTCTTCCTCAGCAAAAAGAGGAGGATTGGCAGTAGTTAGCTCAGGGCTAATCTTCCTTAAAAACAAACAAACAAACAAACAAATAAATAATTGGAGTGTTTAAAAAAAAAAAGTAGCTCCTAGAACCCTAAAAGCCTACAGTCCCACGTGATGTGTACTGGGCTCTTATTAATAATGCACAAAGGCCTGAGGTCATTTGTATACTGACAAGGACTCCCTCTGGGGCCCCTTGGGAACCAAGTGCTCAGCACATCTTCCCTCTAGTCTGTATTCTTTCCTCCACCGCTCCTGGACCCTGACATACAAACATGTATCTTCCAGCTGACCATTCTTTTGAGATGCTCTGCAGTGGCTGGGTGAGGTAGGTCTTCCTTCCCAGCTGTTTGGGGTTAAAGGCAGGGAAGCTGTGTGAATACAGGAAAC